GCTTGTTGTCTATGATATGACAGGTTTCCGTCAAGTGTGCTGCAATCGCGCTTGAGTCTGGTTTCTTTCCCCTACCACTCAGAGATACGGGATTGTGTTCTCGCATTCTGTCCGACAAATGCCTTGTCGTACGACCAACGTATGATGCTCGGCACGAGCATCATACTAATGAGTGCACACAAAAGCTGATGGTAGAAAGTGGCAATTTGTCCTTCAAGCAGAATTTGATAGTGGGACTGGAGTTGAAGCTCAAACACAGATTAGCGGTCAAGTATGTCGTATCAACTGGTGAGTAGTTCAGCAACCGAGTCACCTTTGAATGGAAGCCTCATGTATACGGGCTTCTTCCTAACAGAACATTGAGTAGTTTGGGCTTAACGGCTTCCATAGTCTTAAGTACGAACCTTTCAGGATATCCGTTCTGCAGTAATGTGTGTCCCAAGAACTTTAGTTCCTCTTCTAAGTAGTCGGGTGAGCATATCTTCATTGCCCTCTCAGTCATGTATCTAATTAGGTTGCGTTTTTGTTGCAACGGAACGAAGCTATCAAAGTGAATATACTCACCTTTCCACGTTTGCTTTCTGTGGGCTTTGCGTTCTATGGTCCCGCCGGTCTTCCTTTTAACATTGACATCGAGGAAACTTAACTGGCCGTTTTGTTCTGATTCGATAGCAACCTTGATATTAGTATGGACTGAATTGAAACTGCTTAGTACGTCTGTTGTGCTGATGGTTCCGTCGGCAACTACAAAAATGTCGTCCACGTAGCGACGATATCATGTTAACTGTCCAATGAGTGCTTCTAATTTTTGAGTCTCTAGCTTGGTCATGAAAAAATCTGGGACCTAGAGGGGATCCCATCGCCACCCCATCCTTCTGTCGGTAAATTTGATTGTTGAAAGTAAACTGAACATTGTAGGCACAAAGGAGCAAGGGTTGGTTCAGATCCGAGATGCGAATTCCAATATCCTTACCTTTGCACTCGAGCAAGTCACAAACATACTCTATTGTCTCAGTTGTCGTGCCTTTTTGATGACAGGTTTTCACTTTAAATCACATCAGCTAACTTCCTCCGATTGGACATGCTGCTTTCTGTTCATAAAAAGTGTTGTTCGCGTGTTGTTGGCGTGCTTCGACCGGTTGTTTCACAAAACGTACGGCGGACATTTTCGTTCAACTATTTTACGCCAGTTTCTCTGACTTGATTGAATACAAACTCACTGCGACTCCACTGTTGTTGTTTTTCAATCGTCCATCGAAGGCACTGATGTCCAACATTCCAGGTTGGCGGGAGGGACGAACAGATGAGTTTGATCGTGCGATTTGTACAACACAACTGAAGCTCGGGTTGATGTCTTTGAACTGTCTGGCACGGGGAGCATCAACCTTGTTGACCAACCTCATGGTAAAAGTACCGATTCCGACAAAACTGGATGAGGTGAGTTTTCGTTCTTCTCCGTGTAGAACACGTGATCAGTGTAATTTAGTGGTGTTTACCTGTGTGTTCTGTATACGGGTAACTAACCATGGAACATTTGTCAGCTGTTTGTCCAGACAGTATCTAAGTGATATAAAGCAGTAACTCTGACTCACTCTTCTGACAGTTCTGACTGAATAGAGTTCTTCAGGTGTGTAGACTTATCTGAAGTTCCCAGTTAGTTAGCGCCACGGACATTGGGCAATTTTTGCAGGTGCTCACTGCCATCGCATAAGACGGTACTCTTCCTATCCTGGTGCAACTGCTCTCGCGGGCCCATAACAAAGCGTGGAAGCGCTGAACTCTCAGTAGAGCTTATAGGTAGTGCATGCCGGACCCATGCCGGGGTTCGAACCCAGGACGTCTGCTTTGCGAACGAGCAAATAATTGAAAAACCTGTTGATCAGGTAGAACAAGTGTGACGGTAAGGTTGATTTGGCAGTGAAATATGGGACGCACGACCTGTTAATTCAGTAGTTTCGCCGACTTATTTCTCACACAGTGAGCCAAGCTGGGTGTTAGTGACAGCTTATCTACTGGTCATTGGCAATCACCAAGTCATGCGAATTTGGGATCGATGAACTTGCCAAGGCATCGTCCCCAATAAGTGGATTTGTGTTCTACCATCGGTTACCTGAAACCAACTCGCCTTTCGAAGTCAGACAACTAAAGCGAATTTTCTTAAGGTTGTACAAACGTAGCCATTCCGAATGTTCACTTTTTAGCATCTGATCTTACATACCACCCATTTGTTTGTTGGCTATTTTACTCAGACTGTGTCCCCTCAGCCATATGACAGCCAATCGAAGATCTTATAAAGTTACCACAGGATAATCTGAAGAATTTTCACCTGTTGTGAAATTGTTCTGAATGTACCATTTCCATGAATTTTATCACAGCATCGGAAAAGACGTTGGCGTTCTTGCACCCACAACGTAACGGACCTAACAGTAGGCTTTACCGTTACAACCTCATGTGTTTGTCTTGGTGCGCTCTTTTATCCAGTTGAGACTGCTCTGGTGCATGCTTTTGATTGGTCCGTTTTTCGAACTGCTATCCTCCAACTGAGTATTGATCAGTTTTGCTCGATTAGGTCACACCACAAGGCTCTTTGGGTTTCTTGCTGTCTAATTCAATGTTTTCCGAATCGGACTTATAAATTGGGATTAAACGAGCAAATTGATGAAGTATCCTTCCAAACTGAAGTTGTACTTCAAACTGCACCAAGGAGAGTCTGTTTTCGAGGCTGGAAATACCACCATGAAATTCTGCAGTCTGATTGTAGCACGACTCTGGCAACCGCTTCGCATTGAAATCAGCATGTCAGCTTATGTTGTCATGGAAGCGTCACCAAAACTAAGGCAGAAACCAGTGCATTGTGCTCCGTTTAGCCTTACAATCATCATCATCATCATCATCGGCTGTAAGAACCGCCTGCTTGTCGCACACTGGTCATATCTACTACAGCTCCGTTCAGCGATGATTTTGGGAGGTGTGGAAGGTAGCTGCTCATTGAAGGCGGTAGCTGACATAACTGGTGCGTAAATGCAGTGTCTCGTCTGTGCACTTTTAATTGGAGAGATTGGGATGGGAGCTATGCACTGAAGACAACCACCTGGATGCACTCGCAACGCTGAGAGCGCGACTCGGGCATATCTGATGAAATCTCCAACCAATTACGTGTTTCGTCTCGTAATCTCCACCAAGGGAGACGATATTGAACAGTGCTACTGAGGTCGCCGCAAATGGCTATTATACTTTGCCGCCAAGTCATTGTTTGACATTCTCTGTCTCGTTTTCGCCCTTCACATGGTTATGCAAAAAGAGTCCTTTGAAAAAAGTCCATCTACTTGCGAAATGAGCACGTGACCTAGTCACCACTACCTATGGAGTATGATCAGTTCATGTATCGAGGGTGGGTTCTTTCTCCCAAAAACCATTCGACGCACTTCAGCGTTGATAATCGTTCAGCTGTAGCACCCTTTTGGTGCCTAATTGCCATGCCACCCGGGGGAAGCATGAGGGCCGAGACACTGCCAGGTTGCCCAAGCTTAGACGGGAGAAGTCGAGAGGCAGAGGTTGGGTTCGAACCACGGACATTCCGGTCAATAAATTCACCGCCATTCACCATTACTGGTCTGACGTTCCCATCAGACTCAGATAACACTTCGAAGAAGTCGATGGTCAAACATTGAGTCTCTTGACGTCTTTACTGCGCATTTGCCAAGTTTCTAACCCATACGACAATATGGAGCACACTTTAGCAGTGTAAACTCGACCCTTAACGGATAAGCTTATGTCACACCTAAGCCACAGGTGATGCAAATTCTCAAAAGCTGCTATTGCCTTCTCAATCCGGATGGAAATAGCATCTTTCGCAACAACACCGGGACTGATACAGCTGCACGGGCATGAGGTTAGGGTTCGAGCCCACTCAGTTCCACGAGAGCACATCGCACTTTGCAGGTGTGACGCGCACATCAAACCGTTCGGTCTACCCACAGTAGAATTAGTTCGTGGTCGAACTGAAAAGCGCCAAATTCGGAAAGGCACTTTGGCAGAAGGAAGGTTACTTCGAATGAATTTCGGATGCTTTTTCCCAAAACGTCTGAAGCCAAGGTTCGGTTGTCAAGCTGTATAACATCGTCAAACTACTTTCTTTTCCCAACAGTTTCATACAACTGAGTGATTTTTGACCGACCACAGCTGAATCCCAGCTGAGTGTCTCGCTTGTGGTAGTCTGAAATTTGGGTTCAATGGGAGCATGCATTTGGCGGAAACTTGGGGATTCGCAAAGTCCGTTCGTGGGCAGTCGAAGCGTGTTCAGCGACCTTGTGAGTAGTTTCTTTCAAAGGACTTGTTTTCATTCAGAGAGGTCCTTCGACAAAGAGGTTTTGTGATTAGGGGCAGAATCAGCTGAAAAAATTCTTTCGGTCTGGTATAAGTCACTTTTTCAAACCGTGTTCCGGCCTTTTACGGAGAATGGTTTCACCTAAAGGTATCGCACGATGAGAGTTCATCGGCAAGCTTCTCAGTAAAGTGGTCCACCAGAGTTCAGCAGAAATGAGCCGTGTGTTCCAGCGGGAACTGTCGAACGGAGTGGCTGATAAGCTTGTGTGTGTTCAATCAATCCGAACGTCGATATGACCGGCGAGCCGCGGTACCACACCCACCTACACAGTCGACGCCATTTCCAAAGTGAATCGCGAGTCAGCTGCTGAGTTGCACACTGACTCCACAAACCAATGCAACTGCCTTGTGTGCTTACAATTTTACGTCAGTATCGAATTGCCGGATGGGTAGTTTCTCGTCCAATAACGAGACCGGCCTATCAGGAAAGCCCCACCCCGGCCCCGGAAGGGAAACATCTTTACAATAAGTCAACTTGTAAAGGGGTTAAAACACAACGAGGGGACAAGTATTTCCCGTTGTTGTTATCGTCTGTTTCCTCTCCGAGGTGGGACCAGAGTGGAAATGGTTCATGCTCGGACTCACACCTGCAACATGGCGATGACTTTTCAAAACACAGTCAGTACACTGGTTTGCCATATCTGGAGTCACTTTTTGATCGGACTGGACGTAATGTGGCCAATAATTCAGCCTTCAATACACAAACAGCACTGGAACAGAAACTTCATCACCTAAAGCACGACCGATTTCCATGGTCGTGACATACAAACCTGCTCGTCAGTAGGTGAACGTTACCGTAAGACGGTAGTTTTCCAGTGAACATCGTTCATCAAGACAGGGTCACGTGGAAATTTCGCACCTTAGACTGTATGTATAACAGTGGATGAGGTCATCTAACCGTTCATACAATGTTTCAATGCCACTGCGTAGACATGGTGGGCAAACGACTGGAAACAGTCGAGTCGAAGCACTTTCTGTAAAACCGACTAAATCGTGCGAATGATATTCTTGTCAATGCCGAAATCAATGACAAAATCCAGCGGGTATCATCCTTGTTTGCACACTTTTGGGTGTGAACTTAACGCGTTCGTTAGAATGATTTCGGGTGTGAGCAGAATACACTCATCTGCAAACAAATTTGGTTTTGCAAGAGACCCAACTGGAACACAGCTGAATCTCCCGTCAATGATGTTTCTAACCAACTGAATGTCCCGCACCTGACCGCCTTGTATTTCAGTTTGTACGGTATTCGGGATATCACGATATATGTATAGACGTAATACACTACTCATAAGGCTGCTGAAAATTCTTCGATAGTTCACGACCGGTTTCGCCCTTCTTGAGGCACGTCAAGAAGGCGCAGTCCCCGAGTTTCCGGCAACTTTATGTTCTGCTTGAACCCAAATTACACGAAATTAGCGAAATACACTCATTTGTGGACCAATTCGGTTTCTCGGGAGACCCACTTGGAACCCAACTGAATCACTCGTTAATGCTGTTTTCAAGCAACTGAATGGGCTGATGAACCCCAAGAAGGGCGAAACCGGTCTTGGGCTGTAGGAGAATTTTCAGCAACCTTTTGAGTAGTGCAATACGTCGATTTCGGGTGTTAGTGTGATGTGATCAACCAGGTAAAAAGAGATTAAATTTGTTCTGAATTGTTCCCGGACGTTCCGATTTACAGCGCTCTGTTTCGCTGACCGTATGCACCAAAGCTTTCAAAATCTGACCGCTACACTTTGGCTTCCCTAGTCCCGAATTTCGCTTCCCCTTTCAGAAGCGGTTTCCTGCGTGGATTCGAAACTATTTCCGAGGGACTCGGTACGGCTTGTATACGGTGAAGTTCTCGCCCTCCTTCGATGAAATGCCCTTCCAAACAGTTGTCAGGTGAGCCTTAGAATTATTGAATTGATCGATCTTGTTATTATTACATATATTTCTTTTATTGTTGCTGTTATCGGCTTTTTTGTGATATACCAATCATTTGCGTGGAATGTCCTGGGTTTTTTTTAAAGACTCCAATAGTGAACACCCTTCATGCAATGTTAATGAACAATCGTTGGAGATCCGACCGTGGTAAACATTCTGGACCAGTTGGGCAGCTTCTAGCTGTCTGTCGACACTGTGGTGAACGACTGTCAGAAATTACCGATTGCGACACATTGTTTTCTGGTTTTGCTCAATCCTGAAGCTGTCTATATTTCAAGAAATCGAGTCCTTTGATTGTTGTCTCCGGTTGTGCAAAAAAGAACTCAGGATTTAGCCTTGGTCCGCGTGTTTTATAGCTGATCCACAGACGATTAGAATGGTTTACCTACCGCTTTTAAAATTTGGCCCGACAGCATCGGCACACACCGCTGGAACTGGAAGTAATTGATGAGAATTCTTCAAACTTGCTGGAACGCTGCAAAGCTTTCCCACCTAGGAGAGGGTTGTCTTTTGCTCGAACGACTTCAGCAGACTTGGAAGCATGCTCAGGTTTGTTCACTCTGGAAATAACCATCCAAATACCCATGAATGCAGCTGCCGATTAATCGTGATCAGTACTCGGAAAAATACCGGTGTGGACGGGATAAACAAGAGACGGGAAGGAAAATAAAATAGGGTCAAAAGTCACATGATTATTGGTTGTATATCAATGGATTCACAATGGCTTGAGACCATAATCTCAGCTACCTGTGTTCCGATTCGTGGTTGTCTTGTGGTTGACAGAGCATGGCTTGGCGGCATGCCCAATGCATGTTCCCGACATCTCAAGCTATCAAGCTGGATGCGGAACAGAGTTCGTAATCACATTCTCTCGTTCTGAACACATTTCAGTCAGTTCATTTACTTCGTAGCTGGAAAGCTTCGAGTGTCGGGAGTCTGAATTTTGTTCATCCACTCCGCTCACACGAACCGTAAAACGAACAAAAACAGATCGCACACGTGACTTCATTTTAGTGCAGAAAGTAACCTGAGTATAAATCGTGATTTGCGCTTCGCCAATTATTACACTGGCTACTTCTTTTTGAGTGAATTCAAATCCAATAACCTGCTAATTCAAGGAGTCAGAAAACACGTGACCACGTGACGCGAGGTACATGATTACAGAATGGTTGGCGCTACGTTCAGTTTAAATGGGAGTCAATCAATGGGCTGATCGGCTGACGGTCAACAAAACCATGAGTTAGGGGTTTGAGGAAATCCCAAATCAGCCACACATTGATCCTCGGGTTTTAGGTATTGGCTGATTTCACAGACAAGGTGGGATTCAGGATAAAACTTCGGAACCCCGTTCTTTTGTATAGTTGTCGCTCACAACGGCGGGGATTTAGATTAAAGTATATACTTGAGCGATCCATACAGCACTCAAGGTCAAGAAAAACATGTATTGGTCTCACACGGTCACAGATCCCATGCCGCTCATTTTTGGCGGAGACCTGGTCACGTGAAGTCAATGAATTTACGCCGTCGTTAGTGTTGAATATATTAACAGGCATAGAATTTGTGTGCTGTGTTTCAGGTTCCTTCTCGGTTTGCGCAATCAGTGAACTAACCATACGTGGGGCGAGGGGCAAGACCGCATTGCGTAATTTAGGAGGTTGAATCAATTCAATCAATCAATTTATAGATAACACTGTTTATTAACCAGAGTACGATTCTCGGAAACACCGAACATAAGTGCATCTGTATTCAAGAATTCGCTCTGTGTGAGCCGCTATTTTCGTATTGCTAACTTGGTCAAATGGGACTCGATGTTTTCAACGAAACTTCAGAATGCGGGCAAATGTGTCCAGAGAGTGTCGGGTAGGTCGGTTGCTTTCGCGAAAATGACTCATTGGCAATTGCCCATTTTGATCTACACCCCCA